CGGCGCAGCCCCGCGGAGCCTCTCCCCCGCGGGGCGGGTGCCCGTGCCCCCGCGTGTGCGTGTGTCCGTGACACCCTCGCCTCCCGCGCCGCGCCACCGGCGCGTGCAACAATCCGCCGCGAGCCCTTACACAGGCAGACTGCGTGGGAGAGGCACGAGCAGCGCGTCGTGCCGGGGTCTTTTCTCGGCCATACGTTACTTCCACGTCTATCGTTTGCCTTTATTATTTATGTGGTGCCGTGTGATATACATTAGAGCCTCGGATTTGATTGGCGTCTGCGATGACAAGACCTGTTTGTTAAGTTGTAAGGCTTCCTCGGCTCCCTCACTTGTTAAATGAACTCTGGAGGAAGGATGCCACCGAGACACAACGATATAATAAATGTCAGGGATATCCGCAGCGCCGAGATCAAATGATCAATCCTTGTCCCCTGGATAATCATTTTAAATTCGCACAGGGGGAGATTGATTTTTTTTAAAGCCCTTTATTAATTGCTTCCTCGATTATTATTTTTTCCCCTCCTCCTGTGGAGGTGTTAACTCTGGTGCTGGGGGCACCTTCGGATTAATTAAACGTATTTTTAGTGTTTTAATGTTCTGCTAATTTTCAGAGCGGTCCCACGCTCCCCCGCAAAAGAAACAATAGCCCCTTGCTCCAGCAAGGAGCCTCCTTTGGTTGCGGTTCAGAGCAGAGGGTGGCGTGATGATGGGCTCTGATTATCTCAAACTCGAGGCGAGGGAATGAGAAGGACGTAAAAAGCCGAACGACCAGAAGACGAAATTCCTCCAAATACCAAATAACCCTTCGCGTTAAAGCCCGAGGAGAGGAGATAGAAATAAATAGCTGGAAAGTCGGCTCCGCTTGAGGATCAAGTGGTGCGGAGAGGCGCTAGAAATGCCGGCGCTGTTATCTGGAGATGAATTTCAGGCAGCTATTCAAGCGCACAGAATTATAATTATTCCGGGAGTACAACAAAAATAACAGCAGCCTACCAAGAACAAGGTGGGAAAATTATAGCCAGTCCTATCTTAAATCCGGCAGGATACGTTTCGTTAAAAAAAAAAAAAAAAAAAAAAAAAAAAAAAAAAGCAGACGATTTAATGCTCTATTTGTCGTGTGCAAACTCTCGTGTTAACAAATTACCCCTCTACTGCACGCAGCAGGGTAGCTCTACATCCAAAGAAACGTTTTAGATTTTAATTTTCCCCAACAGTATCTTCAGACGACATAATAACAGTAAACAAGAGAACAGATCCTGCAATGTTTACGCGCATCTGGAGAGCCCCCCTACCTATGGATAAAACCCCCAACCAAGCAGCCCCCTCCAAACCCTCCGAACACACCGACACGGATCTCCGAGACACCTCGCAACTTGTTTAACTGCAACACACGTCCCCCTCCGCGCACCCACCCACCCGCCCGCCCGCCCGCCAGAACAGGAAACACTTTCAA